CAAAATCACTCAAGTGGAAATACTGGCAAAAAGATGATCCTCATAAGGGCTCAGTACGGTAAATGGAACGGTGGATGAGAGAAAAGCAATATTTTCAAAAATCGGCATTAATTTGAGAGGTAAGCTATACTGTATAGTCTTGCCATATTCATTTCGAAGATTTTAAACTATAATTCTTTTGGAAAACGGGATTTTAAGATTTTTAAAAAATCGTTCTTGCTGCGGCGTTCATAAAGGCACTGGCCTAGACAATGTTAACGTTGTCAAAAATATTGCTATCGCGCTTTTTCGCAAAGAATCACAGACAAAGAAATCACGATAACAAAAATGGATATAAATTGAGCTATCTAGGGTTAGTTCCCCCAAAACGTATAAACTGGTATTTTTCACTTGCTTCCTTTTTGTGATCATGCGGTGCCCAGCCTTTTCTCCTCGTAGTGAGAGCAGTACTTGACGTTTGATTGTCATGTTGGTGTTAGAGATTCATGTGCCTCTGCTACCTGTTCGGGAACATTTTTATACGTAGTACTCAAAGACACTTGTAAGAGAAACCCTACGACAGCACATAAAACTGGGGCCCCTATATATTTGTAGGCCCCTGGGCCCGATGGGCTCCAATTTGAAATGTGGCCCTGTTTATATTTATTTGTCCATGTAACTCTATATGAAATTAATATAAACGTAATCAAACACGAGCACCCTAAATCCTTTGAGATTATATCAATGAAATGATTTATTTCACTATTATTTTTTTAGTCACTTCTAATTTTTGTTCAAATTCTTGTTCGTTACAAAAAGTGGGGGGGGGGGGGGGGGGGGTGGGTGAAGCCGCCAGCCCCTTTGGTACCACCCATGAATTGACACCACCAATGAGTTGTAAGATATAGCTATCAATCAAGGAATGTTTTTGTTTTCTAACATTTGCAGTCAGACTGAAAAAATTTTGAAATCTGTAGAAAACCAACGGATGAACTGAATTGATATAAGCCAAGTTCTTATACACAATATAGAAAAAGTCTTTCGGTGGCTTGATGCCCTTTATACCCAGATCCAGTGTTTCACCAACTGACTTAGGTAAAGCTTGCTAAACACAGCTTTCTTCATTTTTTTGGTGCATCTCAGCGCAAATGGTTTCTTAGCAAGATTCGTAACTCTTCTTTTGCCTAATTCACCACCCAAATTTAATTTGTTAAGCAACATTTAGCATTTTTGTAATAAACAGGCTTAGACAACAAAAAATTTGCTGAAGGAAACATAATCCTCTTTCAAAGTTATTTAATCGAGCTATCAAAAAATGCTTTCAGTATGAAGTTCAAACAATCCTTAATGATATTGGTAATATATGTAGAGACTATTAGAAATATTTAGAAGTTTTGTCAAAAATTATTAATAGCAAAAGTTACACATTGAAAAAACAAATGAAATTAAAAGACCATTAAATTCGGAATTCCAAAGTTTCTTAAGCGTAAACTACGGCTTTGTTTTCAAAAATAGGTGTATTTTCCTTTAGCGCTTCAAGGAAGTATTGTAGATTACCAAGATATATTTTGTCCTACATCACCCAAAATTGTTCTCTTACCTCTGTTTGTGACTTTTACTGAATGGACAACAGCAGTTTTCCCGAAATCAACCCTCCACCAAAGTGGGACAGTGTTAGATGTATGGCTACAGGAACCTGCATTGTAGTTTCTAGTGTCATTTCCATCCACAGCTTTGCTTGCGATCCCCTCTAACCAAGTAGATGATTGGCTTGCATCTCTTCCAAGTGCAATGTTTTCTATGAAGAATTCTGGGTTTGAAACTATTTTTGCTTATATCACTAAAAGGATGTTAAAACTAGGTACAAAAACACCGAAATTTGTGAAATTCTGCCACTTTGTTTCATTTAGACAAATCTAGTTACAAGAGAATCCCTTAATTTTAGATTCAGTAAGCAATGGAATATTTGATGTTCTTAAGAATTTACTAGACTTGTTTCGGTTAAAAATGTTTTCATAGAAACAGTATCATCACATCATCTTAAATTATCTTTCTAACACCATACTCCATACATGCGGTTATGTTCGATTGAAGCGAATAACTAAACAAAATTTCATCAAGACTTTCATAGTATGTTAATTAATATTTTACCAACGATATAGAAATCATCATTGCAACATCATGTCAGGCTCAAACGAAAGAAAATTAGAAAAATATTTTGATGACTGAAACATTTCTATGTAAGAGAATACTCACATGACTATAGTCTATTCAATTGGATATCCCTGATAATCTTACAACGCCAGTTTTTGCAAAAACAGGCATTTGTTAACGGTTTTATTTGCTAACTTTTGTTCTTTTGCAATTTTATGATGAATATTACCAATATTACGAATAAAAAAATTCTTTAAGGACCTAGCAGAATATGCCATGAAAGAATCACCTAAGTTTTTGCATTTGTATCCAGCAGGTGATTTGTAATCTTCTTCACAAACTTGTTCAGCATCGCACAGCTGCTCTTTATCGTATGCCTCACATCTCTCCTGTGAGCAAAAGTTTCAACTGTATTATGCAAAACCAATTCCTTGCATAAAGACGGCATTTTGCTTCATGTTTAAAAGATAGTTCAAGAAACAGTTTAAATGTAAGTTGTTCTTGCATTTACACGTAGACTGTAATTGAGCTTATTCATAATGAAAACCTTGTTTAAAGTTTATTTGGAAAAAATTTATGGATCCAGTCTTCTGAAGAGTCGTTACGAGACAGCTATCTTATGGACGTTTGACAAGCAATGGTAGATTTCCATGGATGGCCCAACTCTGGGTTTTCAACGGGTTGCAGCGAAGGAGGAGGGGTGCCGCAGTGCGGATAGGAGAGAAAGGTAGGAGAGAAAGAAATAGATACCTCTTTGGAGCGCGGCTATGTCGATTATTCCTTCCAAATTTGTTTTTAACGGGCTTTTGGCAACCCTTTGTAGAGTTGGATCGTCTGAAGCGCCCCTTGATTCCTGGTTGCTGGGGGTTTGTGCCAAGTGTTTCTGTTCGCTTGACCACGATGCCACTATTGGACTTTTTATGGTACTCAAAATTTGGGGAATTGTTTGATGACAGTTCTATCGAAAATACTTGTGCTGCACTTTTCTTATTGTCTTCGTTCCTCTTGCAAAACATTTTCAGACGCATTGAATTTTTGTTTTAATTGAGCTTCTTGCAATGACACGTTGTTTGTGCGAAAACAAAAACAGTGGAAAGTTTGAAAAGTTTGATGTTCGAATATCGTGAAATTGCTACGCGTTTTCCTCAGTTTTTTCTAATTTCTATTTTTTATCGAGGCATGATACATGGCGAAATATTGCTTTATAAACAGAAATTGCTAAAGGCTGACTTTAAGTGAAAAGTAGAATGAATTACAGATACGTTTATATTTTAAAATTCTCAACACTATTTCTACAGCGACCAGATATCTTTTCCCTCAAGCTGGAATGGTTGTGTTAGATACAGATAACTAAAATCCTATTTCAACGAAAGTATTTTATCGAAACTAAAGTAAATCTGTATAAACAGATTCTTTACTTTGGAAATGCACCAGTGTCAAGTTTTGGTTTTCATTCTAAATTATTGATTTATGCATTATTTACTTTGGGAAGAGAGAATTACTTATGCCTTTGGATATCACTGAAATAATAATTCATGCAAACTTGCATATAAAAAGAACGATGTCTTACCAACGTTTGCAGAAGTCCGTAATGATCCCAGCCAGTTTCATCTCGAAGCAAATCTGTTTTTCTTTCCCAAACATTTGCAGACAAAATTTCACATTCCATAGTAGAAGCTTTGTAGTTGATGCTTTTACAGCTTTCGATTACAAGGCAACATTGTGTACAATACAACAAAGTAGGAGATTTATTTTTAGAAATCGGACCAATGTTGAGTCTGGTGTTTTCCATGTTCAAGTTGAACAGCACGCTTTGCAAAGCAGATCTTTTGATCGATCCATTTGTTGCAACAAAATTAAAGAGTGCGATCGCCTGGAACAGCGTCTTTAGCCACATCCTTCTTCAGCTGGGATAGTAGCTTTGCTGTGATTCCCGGCTCGAGCATGCTTAAGTAGCGCGATTCAATTCAAAAGCTGGAAGCACCCGGGACTTTGAAACAATTAATGCCATATTTGTAAAAAGCAGAACAACATTTGCTTGTTGATTGGCCGCCGACAGTCTATGTAAATTCAGCAGAGGACTGCTTTCAACCATTGATTGTAAATGACTACTGCAGTTCCAGGCAGTATTATCTCGTCTAATTTTCTTTTTTAGCCAACGGAATTTTAAAGTTGAAGATAAAACTATAACGTTTTCTTTACACTTTTAGAATTTCACTGAACATGGTTGCCCCTATACGATTGTCGTAAGGATGTGACTCCTCTTTGAAGAAAATTTCCAAAAAGAGACGAAGATTTTATCACTATTTTGAAAAAAAGATGAATTTTTGCAATTCAAAGAGCATAGAGTATTCACCCCGTCGGTACATTGGACCTGGACATCACCCTTGGGTACTCTGACGAGGGACGACCCTGTAAATCATAGAGCATTCACCCCGTCAGTACATTGGAATTGGACATCACCCTTGCGTACTCTAACAAGAGACGACCCTGTAAATCATAGAGCAATCACCCCGACAGTACATTGGACCTGGACATCACCCTTGGGCACTCTGACGAGGGACGACCCTGTAAATCATAGAGCATTCACCCCGTCAGTAAATTGGAATTGGACATCACCCTTGCGTACTCTAACAAGAGACGACCCTGTAAATCATAGAGCAATCACCCCGTCAGTACATTGGACCTGGACATCACCCTTGGGTACTCTGACGAGGGACGACCCTGTAAATCATAGAGCATTCACCCCGTCAGTACATTAGACCTGGACATCACCCTTGCGTACTCTGACGAGGGACGACCCTGTAAATCATAGAGCATTCGCCCCGTCAGTACATTGGACCTGGACATCACCCTTGCGTACTCTGACGAGGGACGACCCTGTAAATCATAGAGCATTCACCCCGTCAGTACATTGGACCTGGACATCACCCTTGCGTACTCTGACGAGGGACGACCCTGTAAATCATAGAGCATTCACCCCGTCAGTACATTGGAATTGGACATCACCCTTGCGTACTCTGACGAGGGACGACCCTGTAAATCATAGAGCATTCACCCCGTCAGTACATTGGACCTGGATATCACCCTTGCGTACTCTGAGGAGGAACGACCCTGTAAATCATAGAGCATTCACCCCGTCAGTACATTGGACCTGGACATCACCCTTGCGTACTCTGACGAGGGACGACCCTGTAAATCATAGAGCATTCACCCCGTCAGTACATTGGAATTGGACATCACCCTTGCGTACTCTGACGAGGGACGACCCTGTAAATCATAGAGCAATCACCCCGTCGGTACATTGGACCTGGATATCACCCTTGCGTACTCTGACGAGGGACGACCCTGTAAATCATAGAGCATTCACCCCGTCAGTACATTGGACCTGGACATCACCCTTGCGTACTCTGACGAGGGACGACCCTGTAAATCATAGAGCATTCACCCCGTCAGTACATTGGAATTGGACATCACCCTTGCGTACTCTGACGAGGGACGACCCTGTAAATCATAGAGCATTCACCCCGTCAGTACATTGGAATTGGACATCACCCTTGCGTACTCTGACGAGGGACGACCCTGTAAATCATAGAGCAATCACCCCGTCGGTACATTGGACCTGGATATCACCCTTGCGTACTCTGACGAGGGACGACCCTGTAAATCATAGAGCATTCACCCCGTCGGTACATTGGACCTGGACATCACCCTTGCGTTTTTACAGGGACGAACCTGTAAATAAGGAAAACGCCTCATCATCGTCATGAGATGCGGTCCAAGAGTCTTCGATAGAAAAGCAGAGGTCAGACTGCCGAATAAAAATGCCATATTTCGAAATATTCAGCAGCAGACCATGGAGGCATGGCAGTACATTCAGGTTAACTTTGCTGGTGAGAAATTTTATTATGGCATAAAACGCAGCGATTGTTGGAGAATTTTAAGGAGAAATCGGAAGAACATTTTTCATAATCTCGTTTTCGTCTGAAGGAAAGTAAGAAAAAATTATCTTTAGTAAATGGAAGCAACATATTTCAACCTGGAACATCGATATCAACCTTGCCATGAAAATATATTGCGACAAAAGCTCCTAAAAGGAATTTTTCTGATAAGCCTGTTCTTATTACTGAACTCATCAACACTCCTGGAAAATCATCAACATACATTATTTGACGAATCTCGTTAATTAACGTAAGCAACTGATCCTGAAATCATTTTAATCAGAGCTCATTAGTTGTTTATATCAATAAGCAAAATTCCAAGGCCAAGAATGCAAAATCAGTGAGTGAGGTTTTCTTTATGAAAATTGAAATGGATTATTCTGGGTTAAGATGCACAAGTAGATTGAAGATACATAAAACACAAGGAATCTTTGTTATTAATAGGCAGGGGATTTGCATAACCATCTAGCAACTTGCATAAATGAAGTTTTTAAAGATTAAATCGTAACAGCAAAGGCCACTGATCATTTTAAGCCTTGGGAACATTCTGGAAATTAAGCGGAAGTTGCGTTTCTGGAAGCATGAAAAATATACGGTTAGCAAAAATGGTACTTTCAAATTTTTCAAATCTGATGATACTATCAGAAAGAGCTTGCAAAATTGCGCAAACGATTTTGAAAAGGGTGATGAGTCCTGACCTATAAGCAAAAAGTAATAACTTCGGTTAGATAGGTTTCAAGATGGTTATGCAGAATTCCCAGTCTATAATGTCTTATTTTAATCCCATAGAATTTTGAGTGTTTGTCACAACAGTAATGATTCACTGAAAAAAATACGAATTCTGACTTTAGCAAGATACTTCTTAAATGAGCTCAGTTTAGTGAATCCTTTCAAAGCAGTCACCCGAATACAGTACAAATCTTTATACCATATGTAATACGGTCCAGTAGCTTTCAGTATTCTAAATTTTCATAGATCTTTGTCTATTAGGAAAGAGGAAAAACCTGCCTTATATACTAGAAGAAAGAGGCTAAATAAGCAAGCAAATATCGTTGATGCTCAAGTATTTTTTTAATATGTTTTGTAAAAGATTTGAAATATTTCGCAGATGCTCTATTCCAACTCAAAAGAGCGTGCTTGCTAATCAGTGAGTTGATGGATTAATTGTCATTATTACTGTAAATTTCAGAATATTCTGAAAAAACATTGAAAATCGAAACTGTTGAAAGGCGTTTGTTGTTGTGATTCTAAGAAATAATGTTTTTGTGATTGGTGGCTCTATCATAAATGTTTTTCTTTTTGAATTATGCCATTTATTGCATTTTTTCTATATTTGTTTTGAAAAAAATGAACAACATATGAAAAAAGTATGCTTTTTTATAATGTTTAATTACCGTTAAACAAACGTTGAAATTTGGGTAGAATAAATGTTTTTCATTTGAATTGTGCTATTCCTATTGCAAATTCGCTCGGCATTTAATTTAAAACGGCTAAACAACATAAGAAAGTATGGTTTTTACATTGTTTAATTACCGCTGCAAACACATACGTACAGTCTCTAGCGAAAAAGATGGTCTCTAACCTAAAAGAAAGCTTCGAAGTACTTCTTAAAATGCAAAGTCAGCTAGACATGTAAGAAATTTTGCAATAAATCATCAATGGAAGATCTGATGTTTGCTTGCGGATCATAGTTATTTTGGCTCTGTTTAGAGGCTAAATGAGGGGCTAGCATGTGTTTAAATAGCCTCAGGTTACAATTTTAAATAGATCCAAATTCAAAACTGTAAGAAGATATTTTTCCGTGGTTAGAGTGCTTCACGATGATCTTAGTTCTCCATCTCACCCCCCCTCCCAAGATTTTTTCACCCTGAAATACTTTTTATCACAGGGAAGGGCTCAAAGACTTCGAAAATGTGTGCAAGAGAATTTAAGCCTCTCCACTTTACCATTTGACAATTGACAACAGAAGCAAGTGAATGCTGCCAAAAGTCCTAATGAACATTTAACATAGCTCTAGTACAAGCAGTTGTTGATCACACCAAATCCTATATCGATGCCTTTTTGTGTATAGCCAAAAACAACAATGATGCTTTTTAAAATGTTTACACATGTTATAGTTGTATTCGATATTTCCTGAGGAATTTCCTCCTTCTGCTAGTCGTTTTGAATCGTGCTATCACTGTCATCCACCCTTCAAAACGGTAATAATAAGTTTAATCATGGAACGACTATTGATATGATAAATCTTTTAGTCACTCTATTGAAGTAGAAGTGTATATCAGAACATAAGATCAACATATCGCAACAATATATCGAACATAACAAAGAAATTCAAAATCTGTAGTAGAAAATGTTAACGTAACAATCGCTTTGATTGTTTCTATCACTGCTAGATGAATTGCCAAATTTGAAATCCATTTCCCTGCTAGAAGCATGTGTTTCCTTTCAGGCACCACGCAGCCATTGGGCTAGCAGGGGCTATAGCCCCCCTACCTACATTTTTGCAATAATAGGCTAGAGATGTTTTGGAAGGTTTACTCTAACGCAACTTTGGATAGTTTACTCATATGTAGTAGCAGTTCAATGGCGTAACGGAGCAGCGTGGGACCCTTACTGCAGTGTTTTGGAGCCTCTATACCTAGCTAAACCTGAGTCAAATTTTGGAGCCTCACTCTTGGGGTTTTTTCTGAAGTGTTTATTATAATAATTAGCGGTAAAATTTGCACAGACAGACCCATCTACCTCCTTAAAGTATTTACCATAGTACCTAGCACTAGAAATTTTCTGAGAAAGATCCATCTTTCTTTATGTACTTGAATGCTGTAAAATCAAATTTTTAAGATCAGCATCAAAAACATCTTCACAAAAATGATCATGATAAGTTGAACAAGACTTTGAAAAATCAAACTGGCATGATTTTACTTGCATGATTGACCACGAGTTTTAGCCTGACTCGTACCATTGTTGTTCTTTTCAGGAGTTTCAGAAGATTCATAAAAGGCAGGCCTTTGCTTTTTCAAAAAAACAGGGAACGTTTTTGTGTGTTTCGGCAAAATAGGATTTTAGATATATGTGATATCCTCATAAATTAAATGCAAAATTTTATAACGATATAAATGTACATTGGAGTAAATCTGGCAAATCTTACATCTTCATGTGGTTGCTCACAAATCGTTTACGTTCATTTCAATGATATTGTGAATTTCTGTTACGCAACAAATACTTTCATCCAAAACCCGTTTTTTTGAGAAATATCTCGGGGCCCTTAGTTTTGTGCTAAAAGGTGCATTCCATGCTGTAGCAGTTCTTCTTGACTGGAAGCCTTTTTTGTTCATTTCCTAGGTTTTTTATCTTGTTCAATGATATGATGTATTTTCTAATTTGGTTAGCTTGGTGTTTTGTTACGCTCTAGCTAATTTTATCTATTTTTATAGTTATTGATATCTTCTCTGAACCAGACTGTTTATACAAATTGACTAGAAATGAGCAAGTATTGTCTAAAAAGGGCGTTTCCCGGCGTTCTAAGGGGGCATGGCCTCAAAAAAAATTCGGGCACACCCATTTCAGCTTCTCCACTTTCAACTGGTGCGCGGTCCCTTTTTCCTTCAAATTACCGTCATGGATGGAATTAGAGTTATGACTGCGTTCCTTGCACGTTACCTTGGGGCCTTGAAACTTTATTTCTTTACTTGTATTTCTTGTTTCAGGTCTTGAAGGTAGCTGATCTCTTGGAAAAAAATGTAGAGAGGCTCAAAAAGGCGCTAAATGGTCGTTAAATCAAACCAGAAGTAAGCGTAGGAATGCATCCTGTTGATTGCTTGGTTAAGTGAATCTGGGTCGAGTGGCAGAGCTTGAGGTGTCTTTGTTTTAATTGATATTTAGAGTCTTATTCTTGTCTTCATCAAGCTTTCTTTCTCTTTACAGTTAAAGGGCAACAAGTTGGACATTTTTATTTCATTAAAATGAAGATCTTCAAAAGTAATGAAAGAAAATGTTTTCAGAATCGCAATACGTTTCGTTTTGAGCTATTAGAAATCAAAACATCGTTATCTCTGGATAGAACGCAACATTGGTATCTTCAAGGCAAGCCTGTAATAAAGTTCGCGTGTCAGCTTCTTTCTGACTGCAGCGGAAAATCTTTCTCCGCTAATCTTTGGTTCTCCTCTATGTCTTCCCTTCTTCTACAAATATCATTTGTATCTTCAAATTCTTCGATTTTCTGCATGACGGTAGAATCTGCTTGCTACTTTCTCATTTTTGTGTGGTTAAAATACGATAGCCAGTTAGCCCCTTGCACCCTTTGAATCACGTGCAATCTAAAAATAATTTGAGATAGCCTGTCTTGGAATATTGATCTTCAGCCATTGAAATGTAGGAATCCGAGGAGCAAACTGAGATTAATCAATATTTTTATTCTTTGCAGCTATTTCCCTTTCTAGGTACAGGGTCTCACGAATAGCTTCCGCCATCAACTCCAATTGATTGACAATCAAACTCAAACTCAAAAATACATTTCAGCAAACAACAAATTTGGGCTCCGAATCTCTCGGAAGATCTGAAACAGATTTACCCCATTTGGCACCTTTAGAGGTAATTGTTGCCGTTCTTACAGGTTATAGGTTCAAAATTCAATCTATAATACGAATCTCAAACATTTATATTTTACTAAATGTGAAAAACTGAATAAAAGCAAAAGTTGTTTGTCTTTGACGTTTAAAAGTGCAATTTGGTAACATGCTTGCATTTTTTAGATTGTAATATTTAAAAATAGTAAGAATTTTAGGAGCAGCTACTGTGATAATCAAACCAGATAACACAGGGTTTGATAATTATAAAGGGAGCTGCTCTCAACGTCAAACCTTGATTGTGCGATAATCAGACGTGCGTCTTATGTCCAGTCATTGGACAACTAGTTTCATTCGAGAAATTCGCCAAATACCCTCACTTCACACAGTGTTAATGCCTCCGCTCTGTTTTGTTGTATATACAAGTATCTGCCATTAAGCCTAGGACGGCATAGAAACAGCTTTGTGCCACCTTCTGGGACACTTTGACTAACTACACACACTGTATTGCTGCCGCCATTGCCTTCAATACTGTTGCCAACTACAATGTTGAAGTCTGAAAGACGATCCTCACAGCATTCACCTATGGGATAAATTGATATAATGAACACGTTTGCTAGATTTCAGACCAAAAAACAGATCATATCGAGACTGCATTTGGGAAATTATTCTTGCCATATTTCTGTCTTCATTTCGTTTGCTAAGATAATGAGATGTCCCACATTGCAAGAACTTCTTTTTATCATAAACATGTTCAAGACATTGAATCACTTCATATTTCTACGATAAAAGTGACCGATGATGATCAATAACTTTTCAAAATGATAAAAATATTTAGATCATCATCCCATTTTTCCCATCGAGACATTTTCGTATTGATATACTTTTCGTTTCAAAGGTTGCTGGAGGATATTCTGAATTTTATTCTGAGTAAAGAAGAAAGTTTCGTCGCATATTCGCTGCATTTGGCATTTTTGTCATCCACAGGGAAAGACAAACATAATTCTCCCAGCTGAATTAAAAATGTCTTTCAACTGATGATACCAAGCAATTAAAAAATTCGTTCAGCGTAACTTGCAAGAAAAAGATGATTTTGGAAAGTTGGAAGAGATTAAATTATCACTTGCAAAAAATGCAAGAATTTTATAACTTGAGAAGTCAAATGAAGCATTAAAAGGCTTTTAAAAGTTTCCTTTCTTTTGACCTATATAAGAAATTGTTCAAAAGTTTCTGAAGTGTGAAAATTGAGTGTATATATTCTAAAAAAGGGTTTTGTTTTTCAAAATTTATGTTTTTTCTTTGGGCTTCAACAAAAAATTCAAGTAGCCCCAAAAATATAAGCCTTGTTTTCCCTTACCTCTATTTGTGATTTTTACTGAATGAACAACAGCATTTTTGCCGAAATCAACCCTCCACCAATCTGGGGCAATGTCTAATGTATGGGTACAGGAACCTGCATTGTAGTTTGTAGTGTCAATTCCATCCACAGCATTGCTTGCGATCCCATCTAGACGGCTAGTTGACTGGCTGGCGTCTTTTCCAAGTGCAATGTTTTCTATGGAAAATTCTAAGTTTCAATACACATTTTGCCTAAATCAAAGAACGGAAGTATATCAAAGAAACATGCCCGCATTTCAAATCGGTACAAAGCTCCAAAATATAAATCTGTACACAGCTTCGACTTGGTTTTCTAAAAACAAGTTTAGTAAAAAAGTGATTACCTGCATTCAAAGATTTAAGCAGCAGTCGATTTTCAAAAGAATTTGTAGACTTGCCTTGGCTCAAAGTGTTTTAAAGGAGATTCTTGAAACATTTATGTAGTAGTCGATTTTCTTAAGTATTCTATAGACTTGCCTTGGCTCAAATTGTTTTAAAGGAGATTGTTCAAACATTTATGTAGTAGTAGATTTCCATACGTATTCAGAAGACTTGCATTGGTTCAAATTGTTTTAAAGGAGATTGTTCAAACATTTATGTAGTAGTCGATTTCCATACGTATTCAGAAGACTTGCATTGGCTCAAATTGTTTTAAAGGAGATTGTTCAAACATTTATGTAATAGTCGATTTCCATACGTATTCAGAAGACTTGCATTGGTTCAAATTGTTTTAAAGGAGATTGTTCAAACATTAATGTAGTAGTCCATTTCCATACGTATTCAGAAGCCTTGCATTGGTTCTAATTGTTTTAAGGGAGATTATTCAAACTTTTATGTAGTAGTCGATTTCCATACGTATTCAATAGACTTGCCTTGGCTCAAATTGTTTTAAAGGAGATTGTTGAAACATTTATGTAGTAGTCGATTTCCATACGTATTCAGTAGACTTGCATTGGTTCAAATTGTTTTAAAGGAGATTGTTCAAACATTTATGTAGTAGTCGATTTCCAAACGTATTCAGTAGACTTGCATTGGTTCAAAGTGTTTTAAAGGAGATTGTTGAAACATTTATGTAGTAGTCGATTTCCATACGTATTCAGAAGACTTGCATTGGTTCTAATTGTTTTAAAAGAGATTGTTCAAACATTTATATAGTAGTCGATTTCCATACGTATTCAGTAGACTTGCATTGGTTCAAATTGTTTTAAAGGAGATTGTTCAAACATTTTTGTAGTAGTCGATTTCCGTACGTATTCAGAAGACTTGCATTGGTTCAAATTGTTTTAAAGGAGATTGTTCAAAAATTTATGTAGTAGTCGATTTCCATACGTATTCAGAAAACTTGCATTGGTTCAAATTGTTTTAAAGGAGATTGTTCAAACATTTATGTAGTAGTCGATTTCCATTCGTATTCAGAAGACTTGCATTGGTTCAAATTGTTTTAAAAAAGATTGTTCAAACATTTATGTAGTAGTCGATTTCCATACGTATTCAGTAGACTTGCATTGGTTCAAATTGTTTTAAAGGAGATTGTTCAAACATTTATGAAGTAGTCGATTTCCATACGTGTTCAGTAGACCTGCATTGGTTCAAATTGTTTTAAAGGAGATTGTTCAAACATTTATGTAGTAGTCGATTTCAATACGTATTCAGTAGACTTGCATTGGTTCAAATTGTTTTAAAGGAGATTGTTCAAACATTTATGTAGTAGTCGATTTCCATACGTATTCAGTAGACTTGCATTGGTTCTAATTGTTTTAAGGAGATTGTTCAAACATTTATATAGTAGTCGATTTCCATACGTATTCAGTAGACTTGCATTGGTTCAAATTGTTTTAAAGGAGATTTTTCAAACATTTATGTAGTAGTCGATTTCCATACGTATTCAATAGACTTGCCTTGGCTCAAATTGTTTTAAAGGTGATAATTCAAACATTCATGTAGTAGTCGATTTCCATACGTATTCAGTAGACTTGCATTGGTTCAAATTGTTTTAAAGGAGATTGTTCAAACATTTATGTAGTAGTCGATTTCCATACGTATTCAGAAGACTTGCATTGGTTCAAAGTGTTTTAAAGGAGATTGTTCTAACATTTATGTAGTAGTCGATTTCAATACGTATTCAGTAGACTTGCATTGGTTCAAATTGTTTTAAAGGAGATTGTTCAAACATTTATGTAGTAGTCGATTTCCATACGTATTCAGAAGACTTGCATTGGTTCAAAGTGTTTTAAAGGAGATTGTTCTAACATTTATGTAGTAGTCGATTTCAATACGTATTCAGAAGACTTGCATTTGTTCTAATTGTTTTAAAGGAGATTGATCAAACATTTATGTAGTAGTCGATTTCAATACGTATTCAGAAGACTTGCATTGGTTCAAATTGTTTTAAAGGAGATTGTTCAAACAATCATGTAGTAGTCGATTTTCTTGAGTATTTGGCAGACTTGCGTTGACTTGAATGTTTCAACGGAGATTTGTCAAACGATTTACAAAAAATATCTTTTAAGTTGTAATTGACAGTTCTTCGAAAACTTTTCAGGAATTTTGACAAATGAAACAGTTTTATCTAAAATCGGCCAAGTTTTCGGATTTAGTTGCAAACAAGAAATCTTGAAATTACTAACGCTTAGTTTTGTTTATCTTGAGGGGAATGTCATATACAAGCAACTGAGCAATTTGTCTCATTCTTGGGGAGGGGAAGGGATTCTAAATAAGCCTAGTTTTTGACGGAGACGTGTCATTTTTGTTCGAAATTTGGGCCCATTATTCCTCACATTTCTGAAAATATGTGACCCATAATTTCGCAAACACGATGAAAACTATAGACATGATTCCGCAAGGCAAATAATATTTTCAAAATGCAGCAAAATCATCAAACAAATTTCTATGTCCTCTTCCCAAAATCTCAATATTACACATTTCCCATAATTTAATTTGTAACTGGACATTCATTTTGTTAATACCTAATTTTTCTTCAAAAAGTTTTGCAATATTTTCCCAAAATGATAACCAAATGATAATTGGTAAAATGATAACAAATTCTGCATGTTTCTCCAAATGGTATCAAAATATCCGCTCAAATTTCTTAAAGTGATACTCATAATTCTGTGCTATTCACAAAATGGGTACCCCTAAATAAGGGCACGTCCTCGTACCTCTAAACCTATTAAGATACCCCCATCCCCAGGTCTTTTTCTTTATCCATTTTATGACATGAAGGTGTCCAAATTATCTGAAATGTTTTTCATGCCGAATGGAATTTACCTGAAATTTCTTCTCCCGCTTCCATTTTGGGATGAAACCAGCCCCCCCCCCACCACATCCCGTATCGTGATGCCCCTATTTTCACATGGCAGTGGCAAATGAAGGATGCTGATCCACATGAACCTAACAGCTACTTGTGAAAGTTGCAGACCAGCTTTACAGATATCCGGACGCTTTACAGGTTAATCCGGACAATTTGCCTTTGTCGTACGACCAAAATGCCACTTATGACAAATGCCTTGGTAAATAATGAAAAGGAGAAAGGAGATGGAATTCCTTCTATCTGATCGGCTACTTCATCAGAAACCTTTTTGGAGTGATGAAAACCTGTGAAATTATGATTTTCATAACAAGTGCTGTCCTTCATAAACACTTCGAATATGTCAATATTCTTAATGAGTTTTAATTATATTTCTTTGGAAATTTGATGAAAAAGTCCATGACGGAAGAACGAGCAATTGTAAGTTTTCTGAAAGTGAAAAGTTTGATACTTCTGCTTGTATCATCAAAAACATTAGCGTTGAAGGTACCATATCAAAGATAGGGCAATAGAAATCAACTTTTACTTTTATTTCTTGAAGGGGGGGGGGGTGTATAGAACCTTTTTTTGCTTTTATATCTAGGAGAAATAAATTAATTAGTTTTCAACGTCTGCTCTCTCCTGTCCGTCCGTCACGTCAGAAATTTTTGTCTTTCTTAGGCGATTTTTTTTATCCCAGAAGCGATGGCTGCGATCCATAAACACCTTTCTTTGGGTTTCTTTCGTGGCAAAATAAAAAAGAACTACATGACACATCAGTCAAACGTTCAGAGTTGGCAATAGGCTTTCCAACATGTATTGAGAAATGGGTGGAGATTTCTATAATGAAAGACCTCGTGTTGCATTGTCATTCCTTTGGTTGGCGAAGGAGAAAATTTTGCTTTGTTGTCTGACGTTGCCGACTGTTTATGAAACAATAGATCTACTGTGTAGCAGAACCGATGGGAAATTTGAATACCTCTCAAATGCCTCTAGACATAGTGCCTTGAGGTTTTGAGACCTGCAAGTGTATCATGTGGCATTCCTTTAAGAAAAAATTAATTTTTTTAATAGCCCCTGAATAAGCAAAAATATTGTTTAAAGTTTCAACGCAAAAAATGAATTTTTTGTTTGGGCATCTTGAATGTGTGGGTTAAACGGTCTTGAAACAAAGTCACTGGTACCATTCAATGGTATAAAATGGCTTACACTTTCTGCAAGTTATTAAGCAACAGAAAATTCCGATGCAAGCTTAGAAATGCTGATTTTGTTAGGAATGTGATAAATATAATCGATTTTGCCTCTTACAAGGTTTCTTTTCTCCAGTTTTAATAATACGACCAAAGATCTCAAGATTATAAATTCGTATAAGGAAAAATCACCTAAATTTTTGCACTTGTATCCAGCAGGTGAATGATAATCTTCTTGACAAACTTGCTCTGCACCACACAACTGCTCTTTGTCGTGTGCCTCACATCTCCCCTGTGAGAGAAAACCGTTTCAATTAGCCTAACGTACCGTGCCGTTCGTGAAGTCCGTTAGCAGTTGGTAAGATGTATCGCCTATCGCCAAACATGTTATCGCTTTGAATCGTAAAATCGCTGACGATAAGTTTTTGTTTATATAATCGCCGAATTGTGTTTGTTATATATATTCTGGTTGTGATGCCAGTGGCGTAGATAAAGGGGGGGGGGGCGGCAATTTGTCGAAAATTTTATAAGTCCAAACAAAGCCTTGTCGGAATTTTCTGTGACATACTTTCGGAATTGCCGCATTTAGGGCAAAGGCAAAATTTCCATCTAATGGCACTTCACAGCATTAAATCAAAACTATCATATATATAATTGTTGCAAATAAAAACTATAGCTTTGTTGTCTAAGCAGCATCTTTTATATTGCATGTTCCCTTTGCCAAAATTTGCC